ATTGTTTAAATGATGTGTGGATTTTGTCTCTAGCAGTTAGTTTCACTTTAACCTCTGGACAAATTGAAAACTTTTTTTTTTTTTCTCGGTAAAACTCCATTCTGCTTTGTAGTCTTAATTTTGTACCACAGGGACTGTTTAATAAGCAGTTTGCAGGTAGAAAAGAAAGACCTGACGACCCAATATTCTCTGTTTTCCCCAATGATTAGACGTAGAAATTAGTCAAAAAAGGAAAACTGGATTATGATTGGTTACATATATAGAGAGACACAATTCCCTGAAGTCGTTAAGGGAGCAATAATGAGAGAAAGTTGTTGCTAAAATTGATTTTAGGCGGAAGCCAGTTTCATTTCCCTAAAAAATCTTTTGTGTATTTATTTAGTAATTGGTCATGAAATAGTGCTTCAGACAGGCATTTTAGAAAGCATACCTCCTGTTTAATAAATCTAAGACTTTGATAATTATTAATGCACAAATGCCGGCAGAGGGATGCTTTATTCCCTATGTCATGGTACAGCTATTAATGATACTCAAAGGAGTGGAAATTACCATTTCGGAAGTGTCCACAGGAGTAAACTGGTAAACAAGCCTGCAGTTAGGGCTATGGATGATGTGAATCAACAAGGGTGAAAAGATTTGGTTACTCTGTATATTAGTGTTAATGGGAATAGATTATAGAGGAATATTTGTGATATGACCTTCTGTGCACTAATTGAAATAGTATTCAGAGTCAGCATTGGCATAATCAAGTTAAACACGGAATCATAAATCATCATGAAAAGTGCTGTCACAACTTGCCGTTAATGCCCTGGACTGCTGGGCAGCCTCGAGAAAATATCTGCTATGCCGATCTTTAGGTTAATAGGAACAGAAATGGCATTTAAAGACTATTTGGATCAAATCTGCTCTGAGGTTGAAAGTGTTCCTCTGTTAATTTACTGGTAATTTGAAGTGATGTAGTTAGGGTTAGAAGGAGCGCAGCTGAGTCCCTTATAGCAAAACAAAGGGCTGTGGGAGTTTCTTCTAATATTTATTTAATTGCTTTAGGGTACAATGCTAATCAGTTTTAATATACACGTGTAGTTTCCTTTGTTTCTCAGATACAAAACACTTGGCAAGGTGATCTGATGCCCATTGTTAGCACTACAGCGTAAGGTGATGCACTTGACAAGAAACACTCCAGCATCCTTATATTTGTCAGGCAGAGAGGCTTTATTGTGTATACATGGAAATATTTCTGACAAGTTAAACTATGAAGTGTCCTGTGGAGGAATAAGAATTTACTAGCAGTGTTTTTCTTCTGAACGTTTTCTATTGATTGAATAGAATCCGACTAACAGGCTTAAGAAAAAGCACAGAGGAATTTGTTAAGAGATGATATATACTATTGCCAATAATGCCGTGTGTCTCAATGCAGGGAAAGGTTGTGCTAATTTAATCAGTTACTCATCAGATCATGTAGACAATAAGATGTATGATGCTAAGAGGTAAAGGGCTTGTTTATTATAATTTGCCACAAATGCCATAAATTAATATAAATTCCAGCAGGCAACTGATAATAGAATCTTTTCAAAAGTACCATATTTTACTTCAAAACTGGAAACACCTCAGCTCTACCCAACTTTAAATAATGTATTTAGAACTTCACAGGCAAGTTAGGTGCATAAAGGTAGGTCTGTTTGGTAAATAATCCTAGAGGGAAATTTCTTCCTAATTGTCTTTCAAGTGAGTCGGAAAGAAATGGAAGAAATAATTTATTTACCTGTTCAGGACATGTTTGAGTCGCTACTAAATTTCAAAAGGCCTTCCAATTTGCCTACAGGAAAAAAAAATAGATGTAGAAAAATCTGCGGTCAGTTTAAAGTTTAGGTACGTTAGGTTCTTCCTCTTCAATTGGAGGGTTTGGCAAGGCTTCAGGTTACTTGAGTTGTATTTTCAGGATTTTGCCTCTAGCAAGTTGCAGAGCACAGGTGGCTGGTCTCAACCCAAACTCAGTTTCTAAATAAGGCAACTGAGGTTCAGGGGTGAAGCAGCTTGTCAAAATCCCAAAACTAGCCAATAAGTGCAGCATGTAAAGGTAACTACTCAACATGGATATCCCTAAAACAGTCCTCTGAAAATTCTCACTTTAGATTCTTGTTAAGAAAAGTTTCTTATCTTTTCTATGATATTTTGATTTTGTATGTAATATTTTTAAAACTTTTCTACCTTTGACAATGATCCTCGAAAACTTTCAGGTCATACCCTTAGTAGCCAATCACCTGCTACCAGTTAAGAGTACTAGATAGGTTTTCCTACAATTAACAAGTATCAGAAATAATACCTACTATGAAATGACTAAATGTTAGCTCACAAAGTATGTTCACCACTTTTAAGAAGTGGAGGTCAAATTTTAGGAAAATTACTTTAAAGAATGTTTTAAAATTATTCAATCACTTCATTGGGATCATAGGCTGATGATCTCTTTGCATTGTTAATTGCAATTAATATTGTTAATTTCTCTAACAATAAAATGGATTAGTTGTCATAATGCAGAGAATTGCCTGCCTTTTGACTAAGACGCTGGTTCTACCTCAAATATGCAGCGTGAAGAGAGAAAGGAGGACTCTAATACCACAGGAAAAAATTGTATCTCTCACCCTTTCTTCCTTTGTCACCAGACATACTAACATGAATTAGATTTATAGTTGCTGATGTTGGTAAATTCCCAATTTAATAGGGACCTATTCCTAGAGTCAGAGAGCTAGATGTGACCTTAAAAAGCTCTCAGTGGGTTAGTGGCAGGAGCAGGGTTTGAGGCCACATCTCTGGACTCCTGATCCGATGGCCCTAATTCTCCACCACGGAGCTGTGCACAGCCCACCCCGCCCCATCCGCAGCTCTGGGATGCAGTGGGTAGGAAGGGAGGAATGCCAGAGACAGTCCCCGCATATCTGGGGATTCTACAAACATGCACAACAGCATCAGAACTGGCTGTAGTCAACCCATAACACAATCACCCTTTCACCATAGGATATAGTCCCCTAAGCAGAAAATCTGAAAGGGGCATTCATGGAAATATCAGGGAAATACTTTGTAAAGTACAGTATATGATTGTCTAACCACTGTGCTATACACTTGAAACTAACACACTATAATATTGAAAGTGAGTTTATATATATATATATATATATATATATATATATATATATATATATATATATATATGGCTAAGTGTCCATTCTTCCCTCCAACTGGTAGCTATGATGCACACTGACCACCAGGGGGCAGATGCTCAATGCAGAAGCTGCCATGATGGGCACTGGCCATTTAAAAATAAACAGCACCACGGACCTGGTACTGACCAACCAACACTTGGCTTCCCCCAAGTGGGACACAGGCCCTGCCATCACTCCAAAGTGACACCCCACCAAATCACAGCCAATGCTGCCAAGACCCCCCCGTGGCACAAAATGTGGCCCATTGCCAAGACAAGCCCCGAAATGGTCACTGTGGGTGCCGGGTAACAACGTGAATTTAGTTGACACTTCTATTATACAGAAAGAGTGAATAGCAAAATTAAAATATTCCTTCTAATTAATTTCCTTTCAATGTGCACAAATCCATGTACCAGGACACTAGTTTAAAAATAAAAATAAAAAGATAAGATTCAAATTTTTAAAAGAAAAATCTTCCTCTCATGGCAAGTAACAACTTGTTGTTTCTCATTTTTCAGGTGATACTTTCCATGTAATATCAATTAATATGTAAGGCAGTCAAATATATGTGTGTAAGGTGTGTGTTTTTTTCTTTATTGCTCTCTGCTGCCTTCCGGAAACTGAATGCTGTTTTTGATTTGGGGTCTCCTTTCTCATTAACGACCTAAAATAATGCCTGGCACATAGTAAGTGCTGCAGAAATATTTGTTAAATTTTAAAAGTTATTCAGGTTCTGTTTTAAATTTTTAAGATTTTTGTTTGCATATTTCTTAAACAGTAGAAGGGTGAATGGAATGGATGTCTGAGTGGAGATGTACCAATTCCACACCTGACGCTAAATTTAAAATCTTTCCTCCCAAATGCCATCTCCCCACCTTGGCTTTATAGGCTGACCTGCCATCCGTGAGCAGGGCTGTGTCTCTCCTCCTCTTAAAGATCCCCAGGAGCATAATATAGTTGGTGGGAGTGCAGGACAGAAAAAAAATACACACTGCTTTGCACACAGCCTGAAAAATCAAGGCATAAAAGAGGGAGAATAAATCAGTGCACCCCATTCTGTCTTTGCATGCATAATTCATTGGTAGAAATAAGTACCCAAAATATTTTACCAGTGAATGTAATACAAGTAACTTTATTGTTCATTAATATCTGAATCAATGCTACATCCCAGATCAGTCCAATGTAGATCATTTGGGCAATGTATTTAAGATATATAAATAGCATCAAGTTTTTGAGTTTAAAGATATTTTTATTATCTTAAAAGTAAAGTCCATTCTGTTTTAAGTTGATCTATAAAAATGAAAAACAGTTATATTCTTTTACAAACAGCTCAAAGACGATCAAAACATCAGTGCCTTAAGATTTTGAATGGAATTGGCATTTATTGAACCTCTACAATATTTTGATCACTACAGTAAGCATTTTTTAACATATTAACTCACTTAATCTTCCCAGTTGGCTATGAGATTAGTGCTATTTTTTCCATTTGCAGGTGAAGGCACTGAGGTCCAGAGAGATACATAATTCACCCATGATCACTCAGATATTGAATGGCAAATCCAAGATTCATCCCAAGTTTCTCTGATCAAACATCTGTTACTACCTCATGCTGATTCTCTAATTGGGTCAACAATTATATTTTTAAAGCTCTGCTTTTGAATATATATATTCCATACTATTAGGTCAGTGGATAAATGTCAGCAGAATTGCAAGGCTTGAATTTGGGGTCCATTACCTATTCAATACTTACTCCTTTTTTTATTTTTTAAATACATATTTTATTGATTTTTTTTTTTACAGCGAGGAAGAGGGAGGTATAGAGAGTTAGAAACATGATGAGAGAGAAACATCCATCAACTCCCTCTGCACATGTCCTACTGGGTAGGTGCCCGCATCCAAGGTACATGCCCTTGACTGGAATTGAACCTGGGACCCTTCAGTCTGAAGACTGATGCTTTTCCACTGAGTCAAATCAGATAGGGCTTCTCACTCCTTCTTTGCTCAATAAGAATAACCCTTCCAGCCCCTTGCAAACATTTTCTTCTTGAAGTTCTCTCCTCTAGCAAGAAGAGCTTTTGGCATTTGGGGTTCGATGAGATGATGGCTGGAATGGGGCAGGTGGAGAGAGCTCTGCTCTCCAGATAGTCTATCTGACACCCAAAGGGATCACATACATCCAGAGATTTGCATGGTAATAAGGGATGAAAGAAAAGAAGGCTAGGGGCAATAAATACAAAGGGGATAAACACCAGACACAGAATGTAAGGAAATGCTTTCTCAAAAAGTCTGAACTATCACCTTCCATTGTTATAAGAGTTCTGAAAGCACAGTCCACTCTCTGCAAAGTCTCTCTCACAGGAATTATCTTGACCTGAGACCTCCATGCCAAGGCTGTTGGCCTGCATGCAAGTCACCTTCAGGTCTCTGTAAAGGGGTCAACAAGTTGAGCTTTAATCCCTCTCCCCCAATTCTCTGATAAAAGGGAATATTTAGCTAGATAATTTCAGGTAAATGAATCATCATGCTAGGTATGTTTTATAAATTATAGTTTTAAAGATTTGAATATAACCCCCTAGATAAAAAGTTGCGATGAAATTCACTCTAACTATAATACATATATTTCAACCTGTGGTCTTTAAAAAAGCCTATAGCCAAACCATAGATGACATTTAATGCATTATGTGATCAATTAAAAAATGTTTTGTTGATGTGAATACCCTGTAAATTGCATTAAAAAACTAAAATCTGTATAAATTATTGCATATTTAATATAGTCAAGTTTTATCACAGCTTTTTTTTAATCCTCAAAATTTTGCAAAGGCAATTATTCAACTCATGAAATAAGCATATTTATATCAACATTGTCAAATTCATAATGTTTTTCCAGGTCTAGTTTCCCAAGAAAGTTTGTCTGGGAAACATTATGAGCCTGCAATGTCTGTATATAAAAAGAGCCTAATTGAATTTTGACATAATAATTATATTCATCTTTTGAGATGTTGTCCTACACTAAGTCCTTAAAGATTTTCAAATTAAATTGTTCAATTCTAAAACTCCAATCATAGTTTATTTTAGTTGAGAGGTAAAAAAATGCTTGAAATATGAATTAATAAAATTCTATCCAATACATTACTCTGCTTGACAATGAACAAAGTGCTTGTAGGAGAGATAAATCTAATTTAACATTATAACTTTTAATAATAAAAATATATAGACTTAAAACCTCTTCGGTGACCCTGTCTCACACAGTATAATTCCCTAAAACTTCTAAGTCACTCAATGATAAGAGGCTGATCTAAACGCTTCCACTGCATTAATCAAATACCAGGTCTAATTAAAAGAGCCATGCACAAAGCTTTTTCAAAATGTTGCTCAGGTATTGCAATAATTTCTGATCACCCAAGCCTGGAAGACAAATAATTAGAGCTGCCAGAGCATTCTGATGAGTGATGTCAGCATCTCCAAGTGACCTTCCCTCCACTAATTAATTTTCATCTTAAGAAAAGAGACCCTGTTGTTGCACATTATTAATTGAGTTCACTAAAAGATGCGCCTGATTAATTTTTGTTGATAATACTTGTCATTCTAGGCAGCGGCTGTAATCATTCTATTGGGTTTTATTTTTTTAAGTTGATCTAAGTCCTTTGCAATGTGACTGATATATCTGATACAAAATATCATGCGTAAGGGCATATCCTATAATGTGTCTGGGCTATTTTTCATTGCCGTTATTTGCCAAGGTAAAATGAAATGTCAGAGGGGAGTTTTCTGATCTGTGGGTAACTGCGAAGGTGTCTTATCACTTTGCCCTGATAGCCTAGTGAGGCCTCTCACTCTCAACTTCCCCAAAGAGATCACTGTACCCATTGTAGCCTCCTCTTGGGTCGTATAGTGAACTACCCCATCTCCAGAGAAAACACTGCACTCCTCTTACAGTTGTTCTTCATCCCATTTCTGTTATTACCAAAGAATTTCACACAACTTCCTTTGTTCACAGAATGAGATGGACGGTCTGCTAAGTAACTCCAGCCTTCTGACCCTGTGTGAGAACCCAGAACTTGGACTGTTGCCCTGTTCATTCAGAAAATATTAGGATTAGAAAACATTGAGAGAGAGCTATATTAAAGTATTTATTTCATTAGACTAAAATTAAACAGGAAATTCAGTCACACACCTAATGAATATAAGCTGTATTTTAACATTGGAACATTCACTTGTCATTGAATTGAACTATTAAAACCATCATATGTTTTCAGTGGAACCTTCTAAGTGTAGAATTAATTTATTGGGAAAATATTGTGTTTCAGTTTCTAAGAGAAAGTATTTCATTTGTACTGGAAAAATGAACTTGCAAGGCTTCTTAGATTTTAAAAGGGTCCTATAAAGTAAATTTATATAAATTAGTATAAGTGAACAAAAAATAAATTTCATGGATACATGTGCTTAACAATTAAGAGGAAAAAAAATGCTTAATGAAATGTCATTTTTGTTTTGGTAAATCTGAAACCTTTGCAAAGTATCCTGAGTCTTTGTTGAAACAGGCAAGGTTTGGTTTTGTCATCCATGCTATATACTATTTACTGTTTGCTTAGAGGTTGGAGGGAATCCATAAACATATAGTATAGAAGGAGAACTAACAAAACTATGTCTCTTAAAATCTCTTTTGAGGAAACCTTCTCTTTTTTTGTTATAAGCCTGTTTCTGCTTTCTGTTTTTCTGTGGTGAATGCAAAATGGCCCTATACTACCCTAGATCTAACATCAGGTCAAGCAGTCCTATCATTTAAGCCAAATTCCCACCTCTCCATGAGCAATCTTCAATGGAAGAAAACAGCACAGACTAATTATCATCAATCAATGCTATTATTAAATATCCACCAGGAACTGGATGATTTATACATTTTTTAAATTTTGGGAGACCTAAAGCTGAGAAATTTCATGCTTTGTCTTACCAAGGAAACAGAAATAGAAAACCCTAAGATTTGGGGTTAAAGTTTAATTCTTACATCAGTTGAAGTATAGATTTATAATAATAATAAAAAGCAACATGTATTGACACCAAACCTTGTGTTTCATGGAATGTTTAATAATCACAGTATTTTAGAACTGAAAAGAACTTCAGCCATCACTTGTCCAACCCCAGTATTTTACATATAAGGAAACTAACTTCCAAACATTTGATTAATTGAATAACAAAGGACTTAACCCTTTGTTGTGTAAATAAATTAATAAAAATAACAATGATAAACACTAACTTGTATTTAGTTAAAACAACTTATTTCGAATCCAGAAATAGTATGCAGAGCATTGCTTGGTATCTGTATGCATCATTACATATGTATATATCAGTATGGATGTCTTTTTTGCTCTAGGATATTAAGGGACCATGCCTGTTTACTCTGCTGTACCTATTCAGGTTATTGCCTTTTTCAAAAAGGAGGCAATAAATGGAAGAACAAAGAGGAGGAGGGGAAATAGATGAAGAGAAAGAAAATTCAGGGAAGAAGAGAGGGAGAGAGGCATAAGATTATTTGGTCCCATTTCAATTTTTTTCTCATTATGCCTTCAAATTTTAACATGCAAACTTAGAAAAGGTTGCCTTCATCTTACAATTTGTGGGCAAGTGTAACTTCTTTTATTCAAAAAATTAACCTCAAATATTAAACAAAAAGGATAAAATAAAATTGGGAAGGTTTTATTTTATAATATTCCTCATAAATTCACTTAGTGCAGCTTCTACAAGCTTCTTACTGATGACCTAAGCACATGATAGTGACTGATCTCAATAAGTGATGGTGTATTTTCAAAACACTGTAAATGTGCATTTTTCTTTTTAATTTGAAAAAGGCATAGTGATCTGAGGGAACAAACTTTTGGACTCAGGGAAGGAAAGACAAATTTGATTTAGAATATATTCCCAAGGACATTGAAAAAGAGAATGGAGTGGACTGTCAGATAATGCTCTGAATCTGGTCAGTATATCTGAAAGAACAATGAGACTAAGAAGGGATTTTTTTTTATTTTTATTTTTTTTGTGATGTGATTTAAATCAATATGGAGAGATCATCTTTGGGTAATATATCTGACATTAATTTTCTAATTAGATTTCACCTATAGTCTGTCAGCATTCTGTTCAGAAATCATCAATATTTTACTTGGATGAATACATCAGAACCTCTCTACTTTCTCTTGTGGCTTTATGCCTGTTCTAATATTATTTCATTTTAGTAATCATACTTAACCAAACTAGAATCTGTAAAATGGTTTTCTGAACTTGGATTCTGACATTTAGCTATGCCGTCACTCTTGACAGCAAATGGAGTCTTCAGTTTTGTACAAAGAACACTTATATACAGTAGATGTCATTCAATAATATTTGGCTCTAGGATGTACATCCATCTCAGCTAATTAACTTCAATTTTTATCATAATTTATATTGACTGAGATGTCCTCAATCCAATAAATATTTACCTGGTGAGTGAACAAATTTAATCTGTAGCCATAACATGTGTGGACATGAGGCCTCCAGACCCCCAATGGCATTCACATCTGTATTCGATGTGAAGGATGTGGTAGTAGTGGGACTCAGAGGATATGTATAAAGTCTGGAGTTAGAAAAAATATATATTGTGAGATTTAGAGTTAATCTTTAGCTGGACTCTTTCTTAGAAAAGTTACTTAAATTACCTAAAACTCAATTTATATATCGTAAAACTATAAATATATTTTACATTTACTTCACAGAATTGACAAGAAATAAACAAAATATTAAAGCACCCAATTCAGTGCCTGACACATTGAAAGAGCTTATTAAACATTATTGTATATTCCATTGAGGTTGATTAATCCACTTTATTCATGGAGAGATTTTTGCCTTTTTACCAGACCAACTTAATCTTCCCTCTCAAGCAAAGGAAACACGAAGAA